TCTGCTTTCTTCTCGGGGAATCTGGATTTGGGGAACCCCCCACCCCCAACCCCCCCCCCCCCGAAGCAGGAAGTCACAGAGCATGCTGGGCCAAATAGAGGTTGGCCCCAGAGAAAGAAGGGAGGGAGGAGAGAGAAAAAGAAAGAAGGAATAGAAGAGGGAGGGAGGAAAAAAGGAAGGAAGGAAAAGATGGACAGAAGGAAGGAATAGAAAAGGGAGGGAGGCAGGATGGAGCGCCTCCTGCCAACCTTTGGAGGAGCCAAGCAGAAAAAGAAGGGAACCGTTGTGGAGAGAGAGAGGGGGGGGGCAGGGCAGCCAGAGAGGAAGAAGGGGGGAGGGAGGGAGGGGGGACCCCTCCTCACCTGAATGGCGAAGGCCTCGGCCTGGGCGCGACATCTCTTCTCAATCTCAAATTCAGCTTCCATGCTGGACAACTCGGCCAAGAGGGCTTGAGACGCTGGGGACGGAAAGAGCGGGACAAGGGGGGGTCAGAGCAAGGACCCCACCCCCAAACCGGGAACCCTCCCCAGAGGTGCCCACAGACGTTGGGCCAAAATGCCAGGGGGATGGCTCTGACGGGGCAGCCGAAGCCCTGCCGGTTTTCATGCCCCCGCATGAAATTGACTTAATGAATCGATTGTGGGCCTCCATTTCTAGATGGGGAGAAATGAACCCACTTCTTTGGAACGGCCCATTTTCTCCTCCCCTGTCTGGACCCACAGATTTTCCTTCTTCCAACCCCAAAACCAGAACCGAAAGCCTTGTGCGTCCTTCCTCTTAGAGAAGCAGAAACCCCCCACCCCACATCTCTGCGTAATAGACGCACCTTGCTCAATTTCTGTGAATTTTTCTTGAGAAGGATCCGTCTCCTGCAAAAAATGAACCAAACTTCACATTCCTTTGCTACTGCATTGGGTTTTTAAAACACAACCCCCCTTTTTTAAATTCTGGGAGTTGAGGTCCTCAAGTCCTCAAGTTGCCGAGTTGGGAGACCCCCCCCCTAGTCTAGGGGAGTGAAAGTGAGGGAGGGGTTGACTTGGATTATTAGCCAGATTAGGTCGTGAGATTCTGTGGCCTCTTCTGAAGATCGAACCAGAGTTGGCGCTGGAGGAGATCCACCTACCTGCTCATCTCCATCTTCCTCCGAATTTGAATCACTCTCCGATTCCCAAATGACTGCGGTGGGGAGAAAATATATATAAAGAAAGTTTAGTCAGTATACAGCTGGAAGGGACCTTGGAGGTCTTCTAGTCCAACCCCCTGCTCAATAGGAGACCCTATAACAGTGTTTCTCAACCTTGGCAACTTGAAGATGTCCAGACTTCAATTCCCAGGTTAACAACGCTTAGCGTCTAGTCCAGTGTTTCTCAACCTTGGCAACTTGAAGATGTCCGGACTTCAACTCCCAGGTTAACAACGCTTAGCGTCTAGTCCAGTGTTTCTCAACCTTGGCAACTTGAAGATGTCCGGACTTCAACTCCCAGGTTGAGAAACGCTTAGCGTCTAGTCCAGTGTTTCTCAACCTTGGCAACTTG